TTTAAATCCTATTTCTCTATTTTCTCCTTAAAAAAAATTTTTTTTTATTTAATGGCGGTATTGGCCATTGAACCCAGGACCTCCCGCATGCTAAGAATGTGCTCTACCTCTGAGCACCCTCTCCCTCCATTAGGTCTATTTCACAGATAAGAAAGCTGAGACTGAGAAAAGGAAGTGACTTGCCCAAGGGTGCACTGCTGGGAAGGGGCACAGCCTGTGCTTGGCTGACCTGGGGTGGCTGTTCTGTATGTGTTCCCAAAGCCTGACACCTCTGACCTTCAGCTCAGCAGTGCAGGGTGGATGCTCTGCCAGCCATGGCCATGTGCCCGCCCAGCCTGCGACCCGTGAGTCCGCCTCATTCCCTCAACTCTTTTCTTTACTTAGCAAGTCATACACACTCTTCAATGTTGAAGTTTGGAATTCTCCTCCACCAGGAAGCCTTCCCTGACCTACCCACCTACAGCCTAGGACAGAGGCCTCCTTATCTCATAGACCTGGCCACTGTGTATCATTGTTTTCCCCACTAGACTCTCAGCAAAAGTTCCACATGTGGGTCCCAGGCATCTGCACAGCGTCTGCGAGGAGTGGGTGTGGGGGAATCTGGGGGAGGAAGGAGTCCAGATTCCATCCCTGGAACCCTCCCTCCTTCCTGGCCTCCTTATTCCTGCCCTCCATGCTCTGGCGCTCTGGTTCTCCTTGCCGGTTCCCTCTTTCTCCTCCTTCCCTCCTCACAGTCGAGAAAAAACGGGATGCCATTTGCCCAAGTCAAGCCCTCTCTGTGGGCCTCAGTGCGCCCACCAGCATAAGGTGCACATTAAGAGGCCTTTCCGCTCTACCAAGCCCCATGCCGAGCGCTGGGATAAAGCAAGAAATCAGAAACAGTTCCTCAGCAAATGCCTATAAAACCCGATCAAATGGCATCCGTATTAACCCCCATGGGGGCCATTAAGTCTGTAAGGCTCAGGGAGATTTCTGGCAACGGTAGCGGTGAAAATTTGCATAGCCAAATGGAAAAGTCCAGGGATCCTGCCGCGCACTAGCAGGGGGGCCAGGAGGGCAGGTACGCAGCGCACGGTCCTCTAGCGGATCACAAATCACAAGGCCCTGGTTGCCGTGGCAGCGGTAGCAGAGGTGGCGGTGGGGCAGCGGCCAGTCCGGCCCCGCGGGCGCGGAGGAGTCCGGAGTCCCCCAGTCGGAGTCCCGCGAGGACCACGCTGCGGTGGGACCGGCGAGCGCCATGGCCACCAAGTGGTTCACTGGGGCGCCCTTCGGGGTTCAGAGCCACAGGTAGGGCACGGCGGGGGTGGGGGGTGGGGAGAGAGGGCCCACCGATGGGGGGCTGCAGCCTAGGGAAGAGGGAGCCAGGGGAGGGGGAGGGCTGGCAGTGAGGAGTGCGGGGCCAGGTCTTTCTCTGCCCCTCCTGCCTGCTGCACTTCCCTGCCCAGAGTACTTTTACCATCGTTATGAAGTTATTTAAAACCATTTCAGGAGCACCTACTATGTGCTGCTCAGAGAGGCCAAGAGGCCTGGCCCATAGGAGGTCACTCAGCTCAAAAGTTATGCGCACGATTTCAGCCCAGGTGTCTGTCTTCATTCATACATACAAATGATACACATCATGTATATGTATACCACCTGCGAGATATATATAATCACCTACTGTGTGCCAGGCACAGTTCTATCATCTGGGAATAGAACAGTGAACAAAACAGCAAAACCCTTGTTCATGAGCTTGCATTCTTGTGGGAGGGGTGCTTGGAGTGGATAATAAAAAAGAAAAGTATATAAAATGTTGGATAGTGATGAGGGCTATGGAGGAAAAGGAAACTGGGAGAAGGATCTGGCAAGTGCTGGAGGGCAGGGTTGGGGTTGCACTGAGAAGGTGACTTTTGAGTCAAGGTTGCCAGCAGGGGGTGACGGGACCAGGCAAGGGTGGAATCTAGGGAGAGGGAACCCGGAAGGATGAAGACCCCAGGGTGGAAGCAGCCCTGCTTATCTTTCATGGGCCAGCTCCAGAGTCACCTGCCCTAGGATGCCAACTCCCCCACCCGCCAGAACTGCCCACGCCAGGGCTGGGTGCCAAACATTGCCCTCTCATGGGGTGTCCTTCCATCCCAGGTTCGACGTCTCTGCTGTTTATCCCAACCAGAAGAAGTTCAGCACCTTCACAGAGGCCCCGTACTCCAGGGCTTATTCCATAGACGTGGTGAGTTTGTGGACCTCCCCTGACTCTCCCAGTGCTCTGGCCACTGCCCCTCTAAGTGCCCCCCACCATGGTGGATAAGCCATGCCCCACACCCCTCTGTGCCCTCAGTCCACAGCCCAGAGCTTGTGGCCTCGACGTGTTTGATAAACGCAAAACTGCAGTGAAAACAGCATAGGTCGGGGCCACAGAAACCAGGGCTCCATTTCCAGCTCTTACACTGACTGGCTCTAGGTCCTTGAACGGGTTAATACCCCTCTGTTAAATGTAAGGTGCCCAAGGATAGGGGAAGTCATGGTTGCAGCTTGAGTGCCATGCCCTTCGGTGCCAGGCTTGGTGCTGGGGGATGGGATCCCAGAAGGGCATTGCCTGTCCATCCCCAGGCCAGGGTGACAGCTTGGTAGGGACTTGCTCTGTGGGTGGGCTGGTGGGTATGGCTGGTCCCCGCTCTGACTGTGCTCCGATGCAGTCCCACATAGGGCCTGGGTCCTATGGCTGCAAGGAGACCTGCTTCAGCAAGAAGAAGCTGAAGAAGGAGGTGGGCACAGGCTGGGCCAGGGCCCAGGAAGCCACCCGGCTGACCCAGCTGCCCCACTTCCAGTACCAGACCATCATGAGAGAGAAGCAGCTGCAGGTGAGGCCCCCGGGACCATGCCCCACCCCACCTCTGGTGCCAGATCCTTCTGTCCAGTCCTAGCTGCCCCCAAGGTGGCCTGCAGTGTCCTCCCAGGTCCAGGTAGAGCTCATCCTTTAAGGAACACATCATCCCCTGGGCTCTTCCCCACATGGGCATTCCTAAGTTTTAAAGTTTTCACTCTGCTCTCTTCTCTTGGGGCAGAAAGAGAAGCTGGGGCCTGGCTCCTACAACTTCAAAGACTTCTTAGAACAGCTGCAGCAGAAACCGGGCAGCACTCGGGGGCTGCTCAGCTCTGGGGAGATTCGCTTCCGAGGACTCATTGGGGTAGGTGTTCTCATACACGGACTGGAACCTCTGCCCTACTGCCACTCTCTGTCCCAGGAGCATGCAGCCTGGGTGGTACTGGAAGCACCCTTCCTCGTGCTGTCTCCCCCCCAGGCTTGGCCAGGCTCTCCTCTGGGACTCCACAGCCCCCTGCTTTCCAGTGCCACAGCTTTGGGCCCACTGGCTGTTCCTGCATCTCCCCTATCAGACCAGGACTCACTGCTGGCAGCGATGGATCTGGTTCATCTTTGAGTCCCTAGTATAGAGCCCAGCATGCATTAGGTGCTCAACATACTCATCCATCTATATATCCATCCATTTAGGCAGCAGATAATGGTTGAGCGCCCCCTAGTGCCATGTACCAGGCCCTGGGGATCCTGCAGTGATGAAGACAAGGTCTCTGCCTTCAGGGAGCTGTGGTCCTCATGGTAGAAACAAGAGCGCAAAGAAGCAACTCGTATATAATCAGGGCCATGAGGAAAAATGAGACAGAGAGATGGTGAAGGATGGTGGTGCCATTTACAGAGTATTCAGGGAAGACCTCTGGGAGGAGGTGGCATTTGAGCAAAACCAGTGGTAGGTGAGCCACAGAGACTCAGAATCTGAGGGTGAGGGCAGGAAGAGGACAGAGCAGAGAAGTGTGGACCAGGGCCCGAGGACATTCGGACAAGGTGGGAGACTTGGGTTGGATGCCAAGTGCTGTGGGAGGACAGTGGAGGGTTTTGACACGGGGAGGGCTGATATACGTGCTTGTGGAGGTAGGGGTTGGAGACGTCCAGATGGGAGGCAATAGTGCTGAGAGGGACTGCAGCGGCATTGGTGTGGGTCAGGTTGGTCGTCCCGTGTGTGGAGGGCACTGAGTGAGGTTCAAGCTCGGTAAGGTCACAGGGGAGGGGGCAGGAGTCACACCCACACCGAACAAGCTCTGCTGTTTGCTGACTGCCCCTTCTCCCCTGGCCCTGGTGCTTTCCACCGGGCAGCCTTGTCCTCCTACTCCTCAAATGCGCCCTCAGTGCCTTCAGTGGGGGCTTTGCTCCTGCTGTTCCTTCTTACCAGGAATGCCACTCCTCCCTCGGAGACCCCTTCACCTAAGGACCTACTCATCCCTCGGCTCTCAGCTCCAAGGTCTGACCTGACCCCACAAGGTGACACCTCCCTTCCCAGGAGTCCCGATTGTGATTGTGTGTTTGGTGTCTCTCCCTGACGGCACAGCAGCCCCTGAGGGTGGACCACACCTGCCTGGTTCGCTCACTGCAAAATTCCCCGGTCTTAGCAGTGCCTGGCACAGAGCAGAGTCTCCGTGAACCAAGTGCAGGCCTGCCTCCTACGTACCGGGTATTCCAAAACATTCTAACTTTTTACAGCCACTCCAGACAAGGCCCTGGAGCTCAGAGAAGATAAACATCTTGCCCCAGTGGAACATCCTACCCAAAACCAGGGCCTTTCTCCCACACCTCACCACCTCCAAACCTTCAATGAAACCTGGAAATTACTCCTTGCCACATTCGGGGGACAGGCGCAGGCATCCTCAGGTGCAGAAGCTGTAACTGCACTGTAGAGGGGAGTGCCTGGAGGCATTTAAAGATGAGTCATGACAGCTAAAGTAATGACAGCTGACACTTAGTACCTACCACGTGCCAGACACCCTTCTAAGCACTTGAGTGTACTAATTAATGTAATCCTCACAACCTAACACCCTGAAGCAGGCACTATCAGCCCCACTTTACAGACGAGAAAACGAGCACAGAGAGGTTTAGTGACTGCCTAAGGTCACAGAGCTACTAAGTGGCAGAGGACGGATTTGAATCCAAGTTGTCCACACATAACCATTATGTTTCACCCATAGGCTTGACTTGCTTGGATTTTGTTCCTTGACAGTCTGTGGGGGGCAGGGTCTAAGGTCAGGCCCAGCCCCGCTGATGGTGGACGGGTTCAGGGAACAAATCAGATGCTGTCTGTTTCCTCGTGTGCCCCGACCCCCAGCTCTGGGGCATCAGTGAGTGTTGGCTGTGCAGGGTGAAGGTCCCATGGCCTGTCTCTCCTTTCCAGCTCTCTTCTCCCCTGTGGTCCCCATATCTGCCCCTGCAGTAACCTCACTGGGCCCTGCGGGATTTCTCCAAGCCACTCTCCCAGGCTCAGGGCTGGACGGTAAGTTCAAGGAGGTGGCACTGCCCTTGTGGGCAGAAGACAGCCACTGGGGGAGGTCACAGCCAAGGCCTGCTTTTCTCAGCCGCCATCTTGCTGTGAGACCTGGGCTGGGAACTTGATGGCCTCCTCTGGTCTCTGCTCCCTCCAGTGGTCCCCCTTGCTGCTGGGACAGGCCTACAAACGCCACCTGCATGGGATGCTGACTTCTCCATGGGAGTCTCCCCAGTGCCAATGCCAAAGCTGTGGGTGCCTGCTCCGGGGCTCGGTGAATCCTTCCCCAGGGAGGAGGGGGCTGTTGAACCACACCCTTGCAAAGCCAGTGCCCTCTCCTCTGGCACTGGGCTCTGCCTCCACTCCCTCCCTAGTGCCCTCTGCCTTCTCTTGGCTTTGGGGATGCTAGGCTCCGCAGCCCTGGAGTTCCTCTGCCAGTCTCCCTCCAGGACTCCTCTCTCCCAGCCCGTCTTCCCTGCCACTCTTTGGGGGGATCTCTCTTGCCCAGCCAGGCTCCATGCGCAGAGCTCCAGGTCCCTACCCCAGGGCCCCCCAGGACCCTCGAACTCTGCCTGCCTCCCTGCCCCCAGGTCAGTGTCTCCCTCAGGCCTGCTCTTCCCGGGGAACGGCACCACCCAGTGGCCAGAGCCAGAAACCCAGCGGCACCTTGTTCCCGCAGTCGTGGGGATCTGCCTCCTGTCCTCCTTCCATTCCCACGGCCTTCACCCAGGCCCAGGCCACGCTCCCCTCTCCACTTCCAGCCCAGCCTCATGACTGATTTCCTGGTCACCTACCATTGCCCAAGTCACCTTCCTTAGCACCCGCATGTCTCAGAATCAGGTCTGGACTCCCCAGTGCAGCCTTCAGGGTCTTCCTAACTCCTTCCCACCAAACCTGTCTCAAAGGTGCTGCTGCTCCGGCCCCCTTGCCTTTGCCCCTCTACCAGGGGGGACCTGCCTCTCTCTCACCTGTCTTCTGGGATCCTTGTCTTTCTTCAGAGTCCTGCTAAAACAATATCTTATGCTTTGTTGACAGAGCGCCCAGCACTGGGCTCTGCCTGGTCTGTGAGCTCCGCAGGGAGCAGTGGCTGCTCTCACCCCTTTGTTCTAACCCTCACCTCTAAGGTCTCCGGAGATGAGCTCATTGCCCTCCGGCCCCCAGAGCCTGCACAATGCCTGGCAATCAGTAGAGGCTCAGAAAACTCATGCAGGGATTTTGCAGTTGGAACCCTTGTGCTGCCCTTTTCTGGAGGTAGGACCTTGACCGGAGGTTTGCCTCTCTGAGACTCAGTTTTCCCATCTGTTGATTGCGGATGGCACTGATTTGATCTCATCAGGTAGCCTCCAGGACAAAGATGTTAAGTAACGCTTGTGAAGCACCTGACACCTGATGCCTGTACCCACCTCATACTTTGGGGCTTTTCTCCTGAACACACCTGGATATCCCAGGCCCTGGAAGGAGGCAAGGGAAGCCTTCTTCCTCTGAGAGCAAGCAAATCTGATGCCTGCAGTAGCCTGACTCTCCCCACCTCAGAGTTCCATGCCTCTTCCTGCAGTCCTCGGCAGCTTCTGGAGGTGGGCAGGGTTGAGCCATCCATGGGGACGCAGCGACCCCATGTGGCTAAAAGATGCAAAGCAACAGCAAACATCCTACCAGGTCTTGACCCAAAGACCCACCCACCCACCCAGCTACAGTGCAGGATGGAAATCCTCACCCCACGTACAAAGGCTAGATTTCTGACCCTGGCAGTTGAGGCCCCAGGTGATCATTCCAGCCACAGTTCTCAACCTCTCTTACTTCCTTCTTCTGCCCCCTCCCACAAAGACAGCCACCCCACCCTGACTTATCCGGCATTGGTGCCCACTATGGACTGGGCACGTGCAGGCGGCTTTATAACATTATTTCATTTCAGCCTCATTACCCTGGGAAAGTACAACTATCCCTATGCTAAATATATGGACCCATGGGGCCAAGAAAAATTAGGTGGTGTGCCTGAGGCCACTCAGCTAGGAAGAAGCAGAGTCAGGATTTGAATCTGGGACTTCAGATTCCTCCAGGCCACAAGCACTGCTCACAGCACAGGGAGAAACCCATTCGTGTAAATGTAGGGCTCTGACACAGGGGTGTCGTGGATGGGGTTTCTGAGACCACCAAAGCAAGCAGCTGTCTGGAGTGAGAGGGAAAGGAGGACTTCATTCCCAGGAGAGATGACATTCACACTGGTGTTGCAGGGTTAGCAGAATTTTCCAAGGTCAAGAAAGCAGGAAGGGCATTTTGGGTGGCAGTAATGGCAGAAGCCAAGGCAAGGAGGTTGGCAGAATGGCATGTGTTTGGGGATCAGCATGGAGCTCACTTTGGCTGAAGTGTCAGATGTAGGAAGGGAGCAGGTGGGATAAGCTGGGCAGACAGGTGCGGCCCCAGTGAAGAGTCTGAACCTGGGACTGAAGGTCTGAGCAGCTGTGGAGGCTCAGAGGCCGACAGTGCAGTGCTGGGGCTCTGACAGTCCCGGTCCCCTCTGTGGGGCATCTCTTCCTCAGGTGCACTCAGCAGCACAAAGAGTGGGACTAACGGCCTTTATGTCCCTTCCTTCCCCGGCCAGAACTACTATCCAGGCCCTGGAAATTACGGGGAGAAGGGCAACCCCTACACGAAGCTGGAGGAGAGCACCTGGAACCGGTCTCATTCTGAGGGCCTCATGTGCAGGATGACCAACAAGCCACCCCCCTTGGCTCACCAGGTATCCCCCTACCTGGCTAGGCCTCACCTGCCTTTCTGTGCAGCCTTGAGGGGAGACTCCCAGGGCGCATGGGGACCCCGCAGCCCTGAGGAGGGGGCGACGGACCTGCAGGGATTGTCCTCTGTGCTCCCTTCCAGGGGAGTGGTCTGGCCCCTGGCACCTACACCATCAAAAGTGGCATCGAGGCGTACCTGGCACAATCCACGGGCACCCGAAGCCTCTATGACACGTTCTCTGGCGACCGAAGCAAGCCCCAGCCTTTTGGATATCACTCTGTGCAGGTGTGTACCCAGGGAGGCTGTGGGAGTGCATTCCCCGAAGGAAGATGGGCCTCTCTTTTCGCACCACCTTGTGTGCTAGGCTTTGCACAGGGCCCTGGGCAGAGCCGGGACTTGAACTCCAGGGTGTCTGCGTGACTTCACTGCCAGTTCTCTCTCCTCTGCACCAGCATGAACTGCAGAGAAGCTGCAGGTGGCCGCAGGGCGAGGCCTGGAGGGGAGACTGGCTGCCAGGCCTGCAGGGACCTCTGCGTCACAGGCCTGGGCGTCCTGCTGTTTTGGAGACACTTCCCAGGCACCGCAGACCCAGCTAAGCTGGCTGGGTTAGTGGCAGTGCTGTTAATGAGGCAGAGAACTGGAGGGCCGGGAGGGGTCCAATTTTAGCTCAATGCCCCTTTCCTGCACCCATCAAGTTTCTGTTATGTGATCTCTAGCACTTTGTGCTTTGCCTTCATAGCAATGGAACTTTAAGTATTTATCTCACTACCCGTTTGTCTCCACTCTGCATTCGCTCATGTATACCTTGGGCCAGATCATCGTCCAGGTGCAGGGGAACCTGCCCCCGTGGTGCTTACATTCTAGTGGAAAGGTAAACATAATCATGAATGAAAACAATATAGAGTGTTAACAGGGAGGTGGTGCTACGGTAAAGGGCATTGGGAGTGCTAGGAAATGGGGAGGTAGAATGTTGAAATACTTCTGGACCAGCTGGTAAAATGCCATTGAATGAGTCCTGCAACCTGGCTCCTCCCCGGGGCCTCCCAGGCCTCCTCATGACCAGCTACTAAGGTGTCCTGCCCAGCATAGCCGGGGCCTCGGACCTTCCTCAAGCCCTACAGCCCATGCCCAGGCCATATGGTAATTTGTGTTATCTAAAACTTAATAGACTTTTTTTTTTTAAGAGCAGTTTTAGGTTCACAGCAAAATTGAGCAGAAAGTAGAGTTCCCATGCATCCTCTGTCCTCGCTACACACCCAGCCTCCCCACTGTCAATCATCTGCCCCAGAGCGGAACTTTTGTTACTGTCGATGAATCTGCATCATTACCGTCCAAAGCCCATCATTTACATTAGGGTTCATTCCTGGTGGTGTACGTTCTGTGGGTCTGGACAAATGTAAAATAACAAGTCCCCACCAGTATGGTATCGCAC